CGGTCAGATAATCGGTCAGAAATTCGGTCAATAAAGAGACGTAACGCATCGCGCCGAGTTATTATTACTACGCGAGTACCGAGTAGTGCATGGTGATTGTAAATCAATACAACGTGTAACGTATAGCAATAAAAGTGATATATTTTACTAAAGAATACTACAGAAAGTGTTAGTTTGTGTCGACCATTCCTCGAGTCCTTTGTGGATCCCGACCCGTGCCGTATAGCGGCACAACACATTCTACTTCAAGGTGGACCAATCGCAGACGTGCTGGCTTCTGCATTTCGTTTTCTTTAGGAGACCAAAGTGCTATTCTTTCGAGTATACTCCTTACGGCACTGCACATGAATTTTAATGGAACTAACTCTACGTAAATGTTTAATTTTTCCATTATTCCTTTCAGCACTCGATCTCTTAAAGTTTTTATTCCACGTTCAACAATAACAGTTGTCTCTTCCGACAACGAGTTATCGCAAACGAAGAATATTTCTTCCATTTTTTGAATACTTTTAATAGCAAAATTTTTAACATTTTCACATTAACTAGACACGTCCATCAAGAACTAGGAACAGCCAAATACTAATTCTGTTTGGAGGTCGTTTTGTTTGTTGAGAAGTATAGCAAGTATACAACGATCCATACACAAACAAAAGACAAGGTTGCAGACCCTTTAGATTCTAGGAGAGGATCTATTCAATGTTCACTCTACATCTGTGTACCAAAGTACTTTATAGTCTAGTCAGTGAGCTCCATAATATGTTTTCTATAGTTTAGTATAGGCAGGGGTGGGCAGTATTTGAAATACAATGTATTTAAATACGTATTTAAATACATTGTTGTATTTTATATTTAAATACTTTTTTGGAGAGTATTTTGTATTTTGTATTTAAATACTTTTCTTTGAGTATTTTGTATTTAAATTTGTTGTAAATACTAAATACATCAGATTCTCGGTGGTGCCCAGGAATTCGGGATCAAAAGCTAGAGAGCCTATATTGAAGAGGTATCCAATCAACGTATTGCTTTTCCAGAAGAACTATACGTTTATTGGATATCGCGCGCGCATATCGCGTCGCGCATCGCGCTGGTGTGCCATAATTCTAACCTTTTCTGAACGTCACTGTGCCCCAAGCCAATTAGCGCGATTCGAATCACAGCGAGTTGACTGTTGGCGACTCTCTTATTAGTGGTTTTCTTTCTAGATCTAAGTCGTGCTGTATGCGCCGCAACTAAGCAACGCTCGAACGCTTTGATGGATATCACTAAACGGCACAATACCGAATGATTATTGCAAAGTTTCGTGAAACCTCTATTAACATTTACTGCAGTATTCTTAAAGTCCGATTCAATTGTTGGGGAATAATGTCAATTACAAATTTGATATAACGTCATTTATATCAGTAAAAAGAATTTTTGAAATGTTTTAAGTAATAAACAAATTTGTAAATAAAATCAATATTAATTAAATTATCCAAACAAATATTATTAAAAATATCAATGGATAGATGTTTCCAAAACTTCTTTTCTGTCACAAACAACATTAGAAAAAATTAATTTAAGAATACTGCAGTAAATGTTAATACAGAAATTTCATGAAACTTTGCAATACTCATTCGGTATCGTGCCGTTTAGCGGTATTCATCAAAGCGTTTGCGCGGCCGGCAGCTTAGTTGCATCGCTCCTGACGGCGCGAATTTCATGCCCTGTGGTTGGACACCTTCTAAGGCTCACCGTTTAAAAACTATTGATATCATAACATTCTGCTATTGACATTTTCGATTCACTTTTTCATGAGGAATATGTATGTGCCATCCCATGCGGTTGATCTGGTGTCACCCTTATATAAATTACGAAATGTAATATTTTTCAAAAATTATGCAAACTATTATACATATGACAAAAAATCGTTCCGTAATAAATATAAATTTATTTTATAGGTAAAAGATAGTACTTTAGAGTAACGTAAATGAAATTAAAAAAAAAATTATTTTAGCCACAAAAAATGGTGAATATGGCCAGAAACGCCAATCTTGGCACATTTAACCTCAATTTTTTAAACCTAACGTATTAGGCCAATTCCACAGTCAGATTTGTTTTCGGCGAACAAAAATACATCGGAAAACGCTTCGTTTATTCAGGTCCTTAAAAAAGGTCTGTTTTTGTATAACTGTATTAACAAATGATAATATTATTCAGCAAATCTTCACAACGCTAGGCTATGTCCTGACAGTGCATTTCTTGCAAATGAAAACCGATAGGAACGATAGCGCCATCATAGAGGTGTATGATGGAACGGTGAGGCTTTTAGCTACTGTCAAAGTCAGAAACGGGACTTTACCGCAGAGCGTGACCTCAACCGGTCATAATCTTTTTATAAAGTTCATAGCTGAACCCCGAACTAACGCACTCGTGTTTGTGCGAGTATTATCAGGTTACAGTAAGTTTAACAAGAATTTACACATTATTCCGGATTATTAATCTCCTATTTTTAAGTTATCAAGTTTATAAAAGATAAAAACAATAAGAGATAAAATGCCCTAGGCATTTAATTTTTTATTTAATTTATTATCTCTGATCTTATCTATCCTAATTTTTATTTTAATGAAAGATGTTTAACGTTCTTCTTTTTCCACAGAGAAAACGTATGATCTCAATGTGACCGGTAGTACAATAACGAGTAATAACGGTCGTGGTATCATCGTGGAAAAGCTAAGATCCGCCTTGCACATTCATGAAACCTCGGTATCAGATAACAATCACGTGGCAGGCGTACACGTGTTAGGTGGCGCGATGGACGTTAACATCACCGATAGTCGTATCGCGTACAATCAAGGGGACGGTGTTAACATCACTGTTACGGGCGGTAATCGTAACGTGTCGCGCAGCAGTATATCATCCAACAGCGGTTATGGTTTTGCGGTGTGGCTCAATGACAGCTTCGCCACCGAATACGTACATTTCAATCAATCGACCGTGATCGAGTACTCGCAGATATTTAGCAATAAGGACCTCGGCGTTCTGGTAAGTACAAATCTATCTGTATACCCACGAAGTAAGATAGGAGGAGACTCAACTTAATACCGTGCGAGCAGAAAAAGTGGGACTAGTTTGTGCGCCAAATTGGAAGAGAATCCGATGAAAAGAAGTCCTAAACACAATTTAAGTGCTTTCCATTGGTGATACAAGTCATCACAAGTGTCGCCCTATCTTTGTCACGTCGAGAAGTTATAGAAAAATGTTGAAAATTATTCACTGAAGTAATGTCGAATCAAGTTTTTGCATTTTTTAAATTATTTTCAATCCGTAATTCGCTTGAATCAGTAATTATGGTTATTTACTTTCTGTATCTCATCCAATGTGCATAGATAGAAATGAAACATACGACCAATCCGATTGAATCCGTAATTACGTATTGGTAATTTACTTTTGATATCTTATCCAATATTCAGCGCAATAAATTAATTCATTTGAATTTAACGCGCGATATTGTTTAACAATTGAAGAATTGTTTAACATCCTAGCAAATGAGAATGGATTGAAATGGATTAAAATATATTCAGATTTTCAGAAATACGGATTCATAAATGTTAAGATGAATCCTTTTCAATCCTGAATGCATTTTTATTCATTTATAGGAATTGCATGAAACAAACGTCTATTCCTTTTCAATTTTGAATGCATTTTTATTCATTTATAGGAATGGCATAGAGTATATTTCTATGTTTTTCAATCTAAAAATAATATTATAATATTTTGTGTGCATCGTGAATACTGCTCAATTCAAAATTGTGAATAGAAAATACAGTTTTTCTATAGTTGAATCTAAAAATAATATCAGCTATTTTTGTACATCATAAATATATATATATATATAAATAATATCAGTCGATGAGACAACATTGGGTAAGTATCGGATAATCTAATCTCGCTTGGCCGATGTCGCGCGCGGCCGATGATCGGCGTAATATTAAGGCTGTGTTCGACTTGGTTTGCGAGTATTCATATCGATCATTCATTTTACTTTTAATCAAAAAGAAACAAAAGAACACAGCTCAATTATTTTTACGTTACAACTTTTTTGAGCTAAGTTGGATTAAAACGAAAAATTTCCTACTTATAATTTTAAATAATTTAAGTAGCATTTATGATCTATTTTTAAATAAAAACTTTTATTATTCAATTAGATTGAAAAATTACATTTCGTATTCAGAATATTGAATTCAGCAATATTCATGTTGCACAGAAATTGTTGATATTATTTTTTAATTTAACTGAATTAAAAAAACTCTACTTCCTATTCACAATTCTGAATTAAGTAGTATTCACGATGCACAGAAAATGCTAATATTATTTTTAGATTGAAGGGCATAGAGATATGCTCTATGCAATTCCTATAAATGAATAAAAATGCATTCAGGATTGAAAAGGATTCATTTTAACATTCATGAATCTGGATTTCTGAAAATCTGAATCTATTTTAATCCATTTCAATCCATTCTCGTTTACTGGGATATAATAATAATAAGGTTCAGAAAATTAAAAAGACGAAAAGGAAAGGGCTACGAGCCAAGTTTATCGTTATAAATTAAAAATTGAAACGTTAGTAAATAACATATCATTTAATTAAAATATAAACTTTAATTTGCCGGCAATGACAAACAAAACAAAAACAAACACTTCGATCCCTTTTTTTTTTTTTGATATCGCAGTGGAAATGCATTACCCATACCGGGTCCCCCCGAGGGAGGGGAGCCGGGTTATGTGGGACTCACTCCCAACCTTGTGTTGGAAGAGGGC